TAGAGCTTAGCCTTTCAAGAGCAATTAGATCTTATATGCTGCTACACAAATCTAGCTAAATGTGCTGCAACAAATGGTACTTCATCTGTAATCAACATCTGAACAATCAGGATATCTGTTAATCAAAGGAAGGATGAATCTGGTTCAAATGTCTTTATAAAAGAAGAGTATGTTTTGTGATTTCCATGTCTCCAGAATCAAAAGGATAGTGTGTCCAATGCTCCTTTTCTCTATTTGCCATTCAAAGGAAAGAACATGGCACTGGATTAGAGGCAAAGCTTTTTGATGACTAGTTGTTTCTAGCTTTGTGAAATAGCCAACAACAATGAATACAGGTAGTTCTGGTTTAGCAACTGCAACTAATTCAGGCAAAACAGTCACCAAGCAACATGGTCATTAAGTAAACCATGTGAATGAGAGACTGTGAAGATACTAGATTCTTTTGTGCAGTAATGCCAACAATACTTTCACTCTCATGGCTTATGTTGTCAGGTGCAGAAAAATTTATGTAAGTGCACATGTTAGTTGAAAAACTATTATTTTGTTACTATTATTTATTGTCATATTTATGAACAGTTGCTTAATGAGGCAGTTGCTAAATGAGGATTATCTATTGTTTGCGGATGATAGGAAGGTTGAGGCCTTCCCTAGGTGTTCCTAATGCCAATATCCTTGATACTCTGCTTCAGGATTTGTTTCACCTGATCATTCCATTCTTGAGAACCAAAGGTATCAAGAAACCTAGATGTAGGAGTTTAAATAGCCTTAATCCAGATAGTTGAAAGTTGTCCTGGAGAATCAATGGTGCTTGAAGGTAAAAGTTAAGCTTTGCCAAAAATTTATGGAAGCAATGCACACTCCTGCCTCAACTTTTGTCAAGCCTGTTTTCGGTCACAAATAAGCATTTGCAACACAGCAGGCAGTAAAAGAAGCTGGAGGGCCAAAAGAAGAGTGAGGCTAATGTCTTAGCCTGAAAGTCTTACACATGGCTGGGATGCCATATGCTCTCTTGAAGTGAAAAACGTTGGGAGATTTTGTCCAGTGACAATGGCATGTCTGTAATGAGCTTTCCTTGAACTAGTGGCATGCATATTCCTAATACTTGAAATCTGCACCCAGGTAAACCAGGGAGTGTCCCGAACAATTTTAGAACATATATGTTATTACCCATTTTTAACATCAATACTTTTTCATTATATTTTAATGTTAGCACTTTTAACATATGGTAAAAAATGTGTATTGCTGGTCTTTGACTGTAATAAAGATTTATACTATACTATACTGCCTTGTGACCATTAACACTCTATGAACAGAGCATCATCCTCTTGGCAAATTTCATGGTTTTTTTTATAGTGTATTGGGAGATTGTCATTGCTGCAGCATCTGATTTTTTTAAGGCCTATTGGTGTTCTGGGAAGAACCACAGAATCATAGGATTGGAAGGGACTTTTGATAGTTTTCTAGTCCAATACCCTGCCTCTGGTACTACAGCATCATCTCCATAAAGCAACAGGGATGAACATTTGAATAGTTTATACATTTCATCATGCCACTGTTATAAAACTTGAAAGACAGAGTGGCCAGGTTGCATCCGTTTCATCATTTTGCACCTGTAACTGGCTTTGTAAGAAACTCTTGTGTGTTGCATCTGACCTTAAGAGTTATATTGAGGAAATTTGTGAGCTAACAGATCTTCAAAGAATGGAGAAAAATCTGAAGGAGAGACTGATGAAAGTGTGACTCCATACAGGGAGAAGCCAAAAGGTTGTGCGTGTGCTGCTTCTGACGAGGAAACCAGCAGATTCTAGAAAATCTATGGCCAAACCTCAAGTATACTATGGCAAGCTGAGAAAGAAACTTTGAGCCCCCAGTCTCAGACAGAATCTATCTCCAGCCCTTTTTTAATTGAAATTTATTATAATATAATATTCGAAAGGAAAGAACAAAGGTGGGTGAGAGAATTAAGGTGTAAAAGAAAAAAAATCAGTGTCATGGCCTTTTTAGTGCAGTTGAGTACAAAATAAAATTACAGCCTCAAATTTTTGCTTTACAATTCTTACAATTCTTCTAGATACAAGTAATTTCTGTAATAACAAAGTTAATCTAATTGTCAAAGCCTAAAATCAAAGTTTCATTTCTTTTTTGTTTCGAGCATAAAGTCCCAGAAGTGGTTTTCAAGTACAAACAAAACTAAGTTCTTTAATTAAGACAGTCAATTTTGCCATCTTTGCCACCTACGTCATTTTCCATTCATTCTTCCTTTGTGGGAATTGATGTGTCCTTCTATTTTTGTGCATACAGGATTATCAACACTGTCTACATAAATAATGTTACAAATTTTCTTTCTTTCTTAACAGTTCTAAAAGGAAAACTTACAATTTTATTATATTTATTTTAAAAACCTTGTGATGATAAAGAGCTAGTCTTAATATTTCCTTGCTTTATTATAAGCTCAACAGCAGTAACTGTGACAGGGATCTGGGAATTCCAGTGGACAGCAACTTAAGTATGAGCCAACAGTGAACCACTGCTGCCAAAAAAGCCATACAATCTTAACCTGCATCAGCAGGGATAGTATCAAGATCAGGTGAAGTGTTACTACCTCTTTATACTGCTTTGGTAAGACCGCATTTGGAATACTGTATCCAGTTTTAGTCATCATGATACACACAAAAAGTTGAAGCAAAAATGTGTAGAGAAAAGCAACAATAATGAGTAGGAGACCGGAAATTGAAATATTTGACAGTTAAAATAATTTGGTACTTCTAGTTTAATGAAGAGGATTAAGGGTGACATCATAACAGTCTTCCAATATTTGAGTAGCTGTCACAGAGAAGAGGATATCAACCTATTTTCCAAAGCACCCGAGGGCAAGACATGAAGTAACAGATGGAAACTTATCAGGGAGAGAACCAATATAAAAGTAAAGAGAAATTTCCTGACAGTGAGAAAATTAACCAGTGGAATGGCTTGTCTCTAGAAGTCCAATGTCTTCTTAAAGATATTATACAATCATTTGTCTGGAATGGTATAGCATCTCCTGCTTGAGAAGGTAATTGGAGTAGAAGAACTGCAATGTTCTTTCCAATTCCGTTTTCTGAAAATCCAACAGAGAAAGCACTTAGCAATAGCACTTGGACTTATGTACCAGTGCTTTACAGCCCTCTCTGAGTGATTTACAGAGTCAGTTTATCTTCCTCAACAATCAGGGACCACATTTTACTGACCTTGAAAGGATGGAAAGCTAAGTCAACCTTGAGCCAGTGAGATTCAAACTGCCGAACTACTGGCGAATTTTTTTAAAAAACTTGTTGAAAGTCTAAATTATAACATTTAAAATTTGGTTAAGGAATATTTGGAATATTAGTTATTTCAAAGTACCTGATTTTAATTAAACAAATATTTTCTTGGGAAAGTAGACTATTTAACTTTCTTAAGAGAGCTAATTGGTGGATTTTCTTAAAAAGATGAGTGAAATGTGACAATAGAATGATGGAGAGTTGGATGGATATAAAGAGTTAAGAAAAAAGTTCACATTTTCTTGCTTTAACTTTTTGAAGTTTAAGGAGAGAAATGGTTAATATTGGGAAGAAATAAAAGAAGGAAGGAAAGGACTGTCAACTTAGCAAATCTGAATTTTTCCAGAAACTGTGACAAACGATGCACAAATCTGAGAATAATATTTGCCAATAAAATTTATATAATTGCGCATTTTACCGAACACAATATTATTGTGGCAGCTGTAGTATCATTGATGGAAATCTAGTGAAGATAGAAAGGGTAGTGTTGCTGAAGCCCTAAATGTAGAATTAAACAAATTACACAGAATTATCACAAAAGAATGAAACATTAAGACCTGTACTAAGACCTGGACTTTTATCAGGAAGAAAACAAGGAACCAGTTTCTAAGGATACATCTTAACATTAAGCTAAGGGTATCATAATAAGATAAAAGAATTTTGATCAGAAATAATACTGTATGTCTTTTATAAAATATCAGAAACCTTTTGTGCACTTTTTTTGCTGAAAGTGAACAGAAATGATATGATGATTTTTGGATTTGCCTATTGAAAAGGATTAACTATGGGAAGAAGCCGTAATGTAATCCTAGAGGATGGAATGATACTAATTTCATTTGTAACTGTGCTAAAGATCCAAAAGCATTTTTAAAATAGCTTTCCTTCTCTTTTTAAATTTTTCTGCTGTTTCTCTCTTTTCTTTCTTTCTTAATCTCATTTTCTGTACTTTTTCATATTTTTCTTGGGTAAAAATGTCTACATAAATTTGCCCAATTTTCTTCAAAACTCATTTTTAGTTTTTCATTTATCACTATTTCCTGGAACGCATTAATTCATAAAACATAACTATCTTCAGATTTCTTATATCATTTCCCTATTGCTTAATTTCAAAAATGTCTTTCTGTTTATTAATTCATACACCATTTACTTCTCTTATACAATCATAGTATTTCATATGCTCTGATCATCAAGAAGCAAGGACATGGATAATGATCATTGATGTTGCTGTGGTTAGTTAAGCTTTCAAATGATACTTTTAATAAAGAATAGTCTGGGTTATCAATTGAGTCAGTGTTTAGATCAGTATGTCAGTTGAGTGAATATTTAGACCAATATGTCAATGAAAGCCTATTTCTCGCACTATTGTACTCAAGTTAGAATTTATAAACTAGAGATGATCTTGCAAGCTAGCATATTGTTGCTTGCATCTTTTCAACAAAGAAATATATGGAAAACTAATATACATTTGGAGACACCTCATCCTGAATCATATGTAGAAATAATTCCATTAGTATTTTAGTATACATCATATTCATCCTTACAACTTTCTGACATACTAGGTCAAGCAGAAAAAAATGATCTACTTAAGGGTACACAGTGAGGTTTTGGACATGGAAGGGATTTCAATTCACCTATCTATATATGCCAGCCAATCTCATGGAATCAGGGTCATATGAAACACTTCTTTTTCTTTTGTTTTAGGGCCCAATTGCTTTGCTGAGACCATGGTTATTCCAGCAGGTCGAGAAGTGAAGACAGATGAATGTACTATATGCCACTGTACTTACGAAGAAATTACTTGGAGAATTGAACGACAAGCTATGTGTACCAGACATGAATGCAAGCAAATTTAGATCTACTAATCTAGGGAATCAGGATATTTTTATAAAATATTTAAATCCACCAGATGATTTGGTGCAAAACAAGAGTCAACTACAAAGGATAATTTTGTTGAAGATTAAGTAGGCATCAAATATTTTGTTTTTGACAGGGAGAAATATATATATGTCAACATTTGCACTTAAAATATTTATGTCATTGTAAGTGTTATATTTCCAAGTGAGTACTTTACAATAGACTCACAGATTATATTATTTCTACAGTGCCATTAGTTTAATGTTTTATATAGATGATACTAATTACAGTAACATAAATGGTTGACTGTCTTCTTGAACATCTGACCATGCATAAAATAAATAATGTTTGTTATATTATATAGATTATTTTTATGAAGAAACAACAATAGGCATAGAAAAGGTAAAAAATATAGATATTATTATAACCACTTACATTTGCAAGGAGTGAGGTGCTTATCTATTTAATGCAACAAGACATTTGTTATTGAGTTTAGTAATTTTTATCTGCACAGAAATATGCACACAATATGTGCCTATATTTCTTTATTATTCACATATGCTGGCATGAATATACAGTAATCTGAGAGCAACTGGACTACTTCATAATCTGCTGGATATTTTTTATCTTCTGTTATAAGAAATTTAGTCTCCCATCAGTAGTCTGGAAATATAAGTCATGTATTTTCTGTGGTTAGGCATTTAATGCATATGAATAAATCACATAATTTATGTTTTTTCCCCTATTTTAACCTAGTTGAAATTACTTTTCCTAATAGGCAAATAACATCTGACAAAAAATATCCTGTTTCAGCTACAAAGTACATTCCCACTAACATATAAATTATTTGTGAAAAGGCAGATTGCCAGTTTTCAAGCCAAGTGCTCCCATGACATCATTTTCAAAAATTCAAAACAGAATGAAAAATATTACAGTTCTTATGTTAGAAAATTACTAAATTCTGTGAAATCCTGGCAACACTTGCTCTATAAAAATGGCATTATTAAATGAAACTCAATTAAGAAGAATTTTTAAGCATTTAATTAATTTAGGCATCTTTCCCAAATATCTCAAAATAATTTACTGTTATTAAAACAGTTAAACCAGTAGAACTAGTATTTCTTTTCAATTTCAAGGCTAAACAATTAATATAATTCCAGTGAGAAATAGCATTTTTCAAATATACCTCAGCTCTTAACAAAGAAGTGGAAAATATTTGTGTTTTTTTTAATTTGCTTATCAATTAGCTTACTCATGACTGTTTGTTTCATAAATAAATTTGCATTCAGTATTTTGAATATTTTTGAAAATTCTAATGTGTTTCTTATTTATTGTATTTTCATGATAAAACAATGATACAACTTTTCCAAACAATTTACCTTACAAATTCAAAGATTATGTTAAAAGAATGCAAATAATAACCAACAGGTAATTTTTGTATCATCTTCCTGAGGGGAGAATCGTCTTAAATTTAACATTTTCTTCATCTTAAGTAAATATAAGATTATTAGCATGTTTAAAACAGGATTTGGTCATTTTCCAATAGAAAACACAGGTCACTAGAAGACACCTCTAATACAATATTGATAAAATGTGTAAATTTCCTAAAATAATAACAGAATAACAGAGCTGGAAGGGACCTGACTTCTAACTCTGTTATTCCATTATTGTATTAGGAAATTGAAGTCTTCTAGTCCAACCTCCTGCTCAAGCAGAGACCCTATATCATTCCAGACACATGGTTGTCCAGTCTCTTCTTAAAAGCCTCCAGTTAAGGAGCACCCACAAATTCTGAAGCAAATCCATTTTATTGGTTAATTGTTCCGTTAGGAAATTTCTCCTTAGTTTTAGGTTGCTTCTCGATTAGTTTCCATCCATCGTTTATTGTCTTTCCTTCTGGTGCTTTAGAAAATAGGTTGAACCTCTCTTCTTTGCGGCAGCCCCTCAAATATTAGAACATTGCTTTCATGTTATCCCTAGCCCTTCTTTTCACTAGACACACCCAATTCTTGAAATCATTGTTTCTATATTGTAGCTTCCATCCTCCTAATCATCTTGGTTGCTCATCCCTGCACTCTTTCCAGAGTGTCAACATATTTTTATAATATGGTGACCAACATTGAATGCAGTATTCCAAGTGTGGCCTTTCCAAGGCATTATAAAGTGGTATTAACACTTCATGTGATCTTGATTCTATCCCTCTGTTTATGCAGCCTAGAACTGTGTTGGCTTTTTTGGCAGCTGCTGCACACTGCTTGCTCGTATTTATGTGATTGCCCATTAGCACTCCCAAGATCCCTGTCAGAGTTACCGCTATTGAGCTAGGTTTCACCTAATCTGTGCCTATACATTGGGGAGGGGGGGGGTCTTTCTACATTGAATCTTATTTTGTTAGATCAGGCCCAACGTTCAGGTCTGCTGAGATCCAGATGGATCTTGAGACTATATTCTGGGGTATTGGCTATTCCTGCCAGTTAAGTATAATCTGTAAATTTGAGTTCCAAAGATATAGATAGATACATGGATGGATGGATGGATGGATGGATGGATGGATGGATGGATGGATGGANCAAAGATATAGATAGATACATGGATGGATGGATGGATGGATGGATGGATGGATGGATGGATGGATGGATGGATGGATGGATGGAGGTAGGTAGGTAGGTAGGTAAATTCTGTTTATCTTTTAAATAAACTTCTTAAATGACAACTTGCAAAACAGAAGAAAATGAGGCACTGTTCACTCTTCTGTTTTGATTTTTCACTCCCCTAATAAAGACAAGTTATTAGTAAGAACCTGTGATAAACTAAGCATTGCCCAGTCAACTGCATTACTGCTGCAGGTATGGACAAAAGCCATTTTAATATTCATCCATTTTTTTAAAAAAACCTCTGCTAAAATCTAGCAAAATTGACATCTTGATCTAGAACTTCTATTTTTTAGAGGGACTTTCTTAGCTCACTTCTGTGCTAGTATACCCTGAGTAATCTCCGATTCCTATGAATTCCAGTCTGTTTGGCACTTTCTCTAACCAGGAGTCTGGGAACACTTAGTTGAGCTCTTTTCACACATTATCTACAGATGTTCTTCTTACCCAAGCAGACATTTTGCTCTGCTCTTTGAATGCTTTCTTGACTTCAAGTTATACCTTCCCTCACCTCTGGTTCCAACTTTGCTTCTACCATAGTTCTCCTGCACAAGCTTTCTGCTTCTGAAAACTAGCTTAACAAAACCATTTGGTTGATACTAGTTCCCATTTTGCTTACACCTTTCAACAGCATATCTTTCTTTCTCTTTTAGGTGTATTCTTTTGTCCTCTAGATTAATTATTTAGGTGATGCTTCCTTTCATATATAACTTTCCTTTTCTCTCTTTTTCGCTCCAGACAAATGAGTCTCCCCCCCTCCCCCATGAGGACAGTGGGGCTGCAAAGAACCTGCTGGGTATGCCAAGCAAATTTCTTCTTGCCATTCCCTCATCTCAAGGTGTTTAGTAGTTAATACGTAGTTTCCTGCCCATTGCTCAGATCTGGAATAAGTATAGGCTCTCTGGTTCAATGTTGGAGAGGAAAGGCTGCTGTGTCTTGTCTATGAGTGAATGGGAGGTTTGTTTATTAGAGATCTTATAAAATGAATGTTCTCTAAGATAATTACATTGCAATCTGTCTGACAGTAATCCTTTTGTGCCCAGGATAAAGATTTCGGGAAAGCATACTGTACTGTATGTTGGTGGAGGCTTTCACGGTTATGAGCTTCCAGGCTAAGAGCCATAGTCTGAGCTTATTAGATATCCTAAAGTTTCACCAGCAACTATGACTGGCATCTTCAAAGGTGAAAGTGATTGGCTTTATAGATCACTTCATGATGGTTCAGAAGCCTCTTAGTCCAGAAGCTCATCACCATTAATAGTCAAGGAAAATTGGAGCTGTCCTGCCATATAATATGTTCCTGCCATAGACTGAACCTCAATATTAAGCATACATTTGTTTTTCCCTGTTAACTTTTTAGATGAAACAACATCATAATGTAGATACTAAATGCAGTTTCATTATTAATACCTTCATATAAATCTGCAGTGTCAAGAAAAATATCAGGAATTGCTGTGATCCTTAACCTCATTAAAAAAGAATCAGTGGAGTAAACTTAAAGAAATCATTAAGAATATGAAAATACTGCGAAAAATAGTGGTTGGCAGGGAACCAAAGGAAAGCAAACTAGATATCGGAACAACTGTTTGCCAAAAAGAGAAGAGAAGCCAAAGGCAAGAAATAAAAAATCTTAGAAAGAAAATAAAGAGTTCCTTAAGAGTTTCAGAGCTGTTAGAAGTGACAGAAAGTAGTATTAGGTCAATCTCTGCAAATACCCTGAATAGGATAGGAAAACATAAATTCTTTCAAAGGATTCCTGAAGTCAAAAGGAAGGAAGATCCAACCATGGACTAGCATGCTAAAGGACATAGTGGACAGATTCCTGTGGGTAATCATAACAATTTGGCATTGCTGGAAAATTGTTCAAAAATGTGGAAACTGCAATTCATTGTTTCTAAATGTAAGATCATGCACTTAAAATAATCCAGTCTGAATATCTAGCTAATGTAGGTAAGACTAATATTTTGCAAACTTTTGTGATGGAATTGTTAAAAGCTTAAGAATCAAAATGGATGATTTAAATATTATACAAGCTTTAAAGTCCCATATTAATCCCTCCAAATAAGAAAATATATTTAATATTTAAATGGTTATGGTCTCTTAAATGAGAGAATAGATTTAAGCCCAACAATCTGGGCCTTATTTTACTGACCAGAAGGATGGAAGGATGAGTCAACTGTGAGCCGGTGAAAACTGAGCTGTCAAATTGCAGGCAGCTGGCAGTCAGCAGTAGCCTGCAATACTGCATTCTAACCACTGTGTCACCATGGCTCTTATGTGCCTTTTTATTCATTAAATCTTTTCAAAACTCAAAATGGAACAAAAAGAGCCAAACATATTTCCCTTGCTTGCCCTGAAATACTTGGGAGGGTTCAGAAGATTGCAAAAACAGTCTTATGATCTGTTATAGGCCACAAATTACCTACCTCCTTTTCTGTTTATTAAGGTTTTATTTTCTTAACATACAATACAAAGAAGAGAAGAAAAAATAGGAAATTAAGGGAAGTGGGGAAAAGGGTGTGAGTTCCAAGGGAAAGAAAAAATAGGCATTGGACTTCTGACTCTTCTTAGCACATTACAAGATAAACACATTCCAGATTCAACTTTTTTCTTTTACATATTAATATATATTGTGCCATTCCTATAACAGCAAATCATTGGTCAACAAAACCAAAGTCAATGTTTTTTTCCTTCAAAAGCAAAAAATCCAGAAATTATATACAAATAAAAATATATTTTTCTCTTTGAATAAAATAATTAATTTAACAATTTCTGATTTATCTTCTTGCTATGGAAAATAAGGGTATTTTTATTTCCACCTAATAATCTTTGTGAACTGTCACCATATTTATTTACAAAATTCATTGTATTCTTTCAAATTTTTGACCTTATGGAAAAAAAGGGGGGGGAACTCTCTTTTTTTCACTCTTTTTTCCTTCAAAGTACTAAACTTAAAAAAAAATTAATCAAAACTTTCTAATTTATATTTTTCTTTGACTTCTTAACATACAAGTTTTAAACCTCAGTATTATTTTTAGATCCCTTCTTCCAAACTACAGTACCTTTATAGATTTTTTTCTTTTATAAATCTCCTTTTTAACACAGTTTTTCTTTAAACTGGTACATAATTTTCTTTAACTTAACTAATTGAACTTTCTCTTAATAAAGGTACTATCAAATACATTTTCAATATCTTTTGCCTACTTTAAGAATTACTTAAGCATTATATATATGTAATAAATTACATTTTCAAATTTCAGTTTCTTTCTTTCAGTTGCCCATATTAACTACAGAAAAATCCATCCTAATTCCAGTTAACACACATTAAGTTTAAGTCACTCCTTCCAGCTTATCTTTATGGAGTAAAATCTTTTTCTTCTCTGGAAGGTTTTTTTCCCCTTCTTCTCTGTATATTTGTAAGATTTATAAGGATTAGTTTTTATTAATTAAATAATCATGAATTAATTGAATAGGAATTTTATATATATTGTATGTTCCTGAAAAAAATGAGTAATCATTTAAAAAAGTTTAAAACATTGTTACAACTATCACCGGAAGATTTTAAACCTTTACTGCCTAGATCGTAAACTTTATTGCCCTGATAGTAAATTTTTTCGCTCTGGGCTGCAATTATTACTCTACCCCCTTGGATTAAAAATGATCAGTGACTACAATATTTGTACAGTATTTTTTAATTTTTTAAATATTTTAAATATCTTGGTGGATTTTTGTAGACTATCTTTATATAATCCTTAATGCGTGCGCGCGCACACACACACACATACAAAATATATGAGCATGCATAAACACATATATATATATTACACTAACAAGCTGACATTTCATTTTTTTACTCTCAGCTAAGATAACATTTTTTTCCTTTTCTAATTTTATTCATCTGTCATTTTTTAATACATCTCTGGATTACAAACTATCAAAAGGGCAACATCATTAGCCAA